TTATAGAATAGTAATGTCATATTCCTGAACTTAAGGACAACTCTTCCCTACTGAGAGTGCACAAGGATTCAAGAAGTCAGCTGCTCTGGTGCCATAAGGTACTCTTTCTGCCTCTATCAGCACCTCCACAAAGTGGGAAATGATGAGTGTGCATGATCTAACTCATCAGAGCTGACCAGAGGGTCTGCACAGGAAGAACCCACATCTCTGCTACCCAGAGCAAACTATGGCTTATAACTAAACTATCTCACTAAAGTATCTAAGGAGATATGGGGCTGGTGGAATCACTTGCTTCATTTCAGCCTTAGCTTTACCAGCAGACTTAGCAAAGACCTGAGGGCAAAAGATACTCGCTTACTCTCAGGGGGTTCTCATTGAGGTAGGGGGGCTCTCCTTCAATCATCTCGATGGCCATTATCCCCAGTGACCAGATATCCACTTTGGGCCCATACGCTTTCCGTGTCACCACTTCAGGTGCCATCCAGTACGGGGTCCCCACCATGGTGCTGCGTTTGCTCTGCTCAGGAGTAATCTGGGCACAGAACCCAAAGTCAGCTGGAAAATAAAGAAGGGGGGAAAAGAAACAGATACAAAAATCAGCAAGTTAGTCCAAAACAATGCTTGCAGATGCTAGAGCTGTAGCACATGTTACCCTGCTGCGCTGCCTCGGGTGTTGTTGCTCCAGCTGTGAAAGGAGGGGTAGTTTTGTGAAGGGCCTGGAGCACAAGTGTGCTGAGGAAGGGCTGAGGGACCTGGGGGTTTAGTGTGGAGAAGAGAAGGCTCAGGGGGGACCTGATCGCTCTCTGCAACTGCCTGACAGGAGGATGGAGCCAGGAGGGGGCTGGTCTCTGCTCCCAAGGAACAAGGGATGGGACAAGAGGAACCAGCCTCAAGCTGCCCCAGGGCAGGTTTAGCTGGAGCTGAGGAACAATTCCTTGCCCAGAGGGTGCTCAGGCATTGGAACAGGCTGCCCAGGGCAGGGCTGGAGTCACCGTCCCTGCAAGTGTTCACAGCCCGGGTAGCCGAGGCCTCAGTGCCAGGGGTTAGTGGTGGCCTTGGCACTGCTGGGGATGGTTGGACTTGATGAGCTTAAAGGTCTCTTCCAACCCAGCTGATTCTATGATTCTAATAGAGAAAATGGTTTTGAAAGGTAGGGTTCTAAATCTGACTCAGCAAGGCCATGAGGATCACAGACTTGTCTATGTGGATGATGGGGATCAGTAAACAGCCCTCTATGGGTGCTGAGACACTTGACTGTGTTTGCAGCACTATGCAGCTGTAACACACTATGTAATATATGGTCTAAAGACTGTTTCTGGGTATGTTAAAATAGAAATGTACATACAATCTGACCTAGATACACCCCCCAACCCACATGCTGTATTGCCTGGTGATACTTGTTCATGGTTGCCCAGAGAAGCTGTGGCTGCCCCATCCCTGGCAGTGTTCAAGGCCAGGTTGGACACAGGGGCTTGGAGCAACCTGCTCTAGTGGAAGGTGTCCCTGCCCGAAAAAGGAAGTGGATGTGCTTTAACACCCCTTCCAACCCAAACCACTCTAGGATTGTGTTTGTAGTCCCAGAGATATTACTTCCCCAGCAGATGCATCATCCCTCAAACAGGATTTGCTTTACAGAGCAAACAGTGCTTAGAATAAATTTATATTTTCTTTGAACAGACAGAAAGATGAGGAGCCTTCACACAGAGATTGCTGGGTCCTATGCCCTGCTTGTATTCGACCTACCAAAAGAAAACTCATTCTGTTCTTGTGAGCCCAGCAGAATGAACACAGCGAGATGCACTGCCCATCCTGACCCCCTGAGGCACCACGGCTCTAATTTTAGGCAGGATGATGAAAATTATCCTGATCATTCACTGAGGTTTCATCAAGGGTAACAACCAGAAATGGTACATATGGTTCATACACAGAGGAAATGGCCAGCAGTCAATAAGCAGCTCAGGTCCAGAAGGTTACTTCATCATATCCACAGGGACTTAAGTTCTCTAAACTACAGCCCAGTACCTGCAGATTGTGCTCAAAGAAGTTATTCCATAAGAACAGAGCACTTTGGCCCTGATCAGCTATTCACTGCTAACACTCCAGAGATCTGACTGTACCAAAGTACAGCTTTAGTCTAAAAAGCAATTATGTGCAAAAAAATCCCCCACCTTCTTACTCAGCATATCTGCACTGTGTGAATTTTGAGTCATATCTGCTGTCAGTGCTGACAAAAATAGAGTTATTTATGCCTGTTGGGTGCCAGCCAACAGAACTGAGAGGAGGAGAAAAGGAGCAGAGTTCTGCTAAAGCTAGAGGTGGAAGATAATCATTCACTTGTTTCCAGCATGGGCAACGATAAGAACAACAGCCACCTTAGCACCCGAGGGGCAGAACGGTCTCAAGGACTTAATGACTGGTGATAACAGGAGGAAACAATGTTCAGACTTGGAGCTGAAAGATTAAATATCTTCTAGTTACACAGTTTTCACTTCACCCCTTTTCTAGACTGGAGTAGCATTAAAATACTGTTATCTTAGTCCACAAAAACAGATGGCCCAAAGATAAATGAGCCCCAAATCTCATTTTGATTCTTGTATCCATCCACAAAGACTCATACTTACCAATCTCCATTAAAACCAATGCCACAAAATACCTACAGAAGCATCTCCACAGCCTCTTCACCACCACATCAAGCATCTCAAACATCCATCTCCCTAATAGGCCTGTCTCAGAGCAGACAACAGGCCTGGGCTGACAACTGAAGTCATAACCAGCGATGTTCCCCACATACTTAGTTTGACAGAGCCATCCATTCCCAGCAGGATGTTGTCGCTCTTGATGTCTCTGTGAATAACTTGGTTTGAATGGAGGAATTCCAGAGCTTGGAGACACTGAAAAAAACCCAAATCAAAACAGAAAATAACGGAGAGATTCTTACTGTGCATGAAATCATTCACCAGTCACAATTAGCCAACTAATGGACGAACAACGTGCATTTTGAGTAGCAAGGGCTTAGTGTCTTTGAGTCTTTCATATACTCAGTGCGTGCAGGGCTACAGAGAGATATCCCACTAGGATTAGCAGGTCATAGGAGGACAAATTGGTCCCAAAAGACTTGAAGAACAGGCATAAGAGAATCCAAGAGGATTCCAGGCCCATTTTGCACTCTAGTCCTCCCTCTGTGGTGAAACATATTGGGCTTGCATTAGGATTATATGCTGCAATATCCCAGATGAAATCCATCCTCTGAAAGAATGATGCATTACAGGAGCTGTTGCAGTGACTGTTGCATTACAGGAGCTGGAGACAGGTATTCCTGTGGAGGCAGTGACAGGTCATGGAAAGTCCATGTCCCCTTCCCAATCGTGGTTCCCTCTGAGCACAAGTGCTGCTTTACCTCTCGGCACACGGCTGCGATCTGTCCTTCATCCATGCAGGTCTCAGTCACAACATCTGTTAGGGAGCCTCCTGCCAAGTACTCCATGACCACCCAGAGCTCTTCTCCTACAAGGTAACTGAAGAGCCAAAACCAGGTTGTACAGTCAGCAAGTATGAGCATGCCACCATTTACCCAGCCAGAACACAGCGGGTTTTAAAGCTGTCTTAAAAGCACAGAGAACCTTGAGCAGCATATTTAACAGTACTGGGGCATTAGGTACTCGTGGTACTTCCTGTACACAGGAGGACCTGATCACAACCAGAGTGCAGAAAGTCAAGGAGAGAGGTAATGGAAGAAGTTTCCTGGCTATAAAACTGGGCTCTGCTATGGAGACAGGCTGAGACACCTGGGCTTGTTCAGCCTCGAGAAGAGAAGGCTCTGGGGACACCTTAGATCAGCTCCCAGTGTCTACAGGGGCTACAAGAAACCTGGAGAGGAGCTTTTCACAAGGGCAGGGAAGAACTTCTTCATAATGTCTAATCTCCCCTCTGACAGTTTAAAGCCACTTCCCCTTGGCCTGTCCCTACAGGACAGGCAGAATGGGCTCCATCACTCCTGCATTCCTCCAGGTTGACCATGCTTTTAGCATGCTGGCGTCTCTCCACAGCCAAAAGGGATGGAGCGAGCCAAGAACCACATTGTGAACCAAAGCTGTGCCATGAGCAGCCAAAGGCACATGCCAAGACCCAGGCACCTCAATAATTGATTGAGTTGACATAACATGCAGGGAGGTGGAACTAACAGTGGCTCCCTGCAAGCTGCTGCCAAGCAAATGTCGTTTCACAAGACTGGGTGATGCTGCCTCAGGGCTGTTTTCACTCTCCTGCCACAGCAGAGGCCAGTTTTAGTCACTGAGCTGCCTGTCACTGCTGGCGTGACTCAAAACCACCCTCTCAGCAGTTCTGGAGACAGGGCCAGGAAGCCCATACACCTACATGCTGCTCTCCATGTGCTGTCAGGCACAGCACGGTGTCGCACCTTGGCACCCACATCAGCTTCCCAAACAAGGCTGGCAGTAAAAACAAGCTGATGAAAGTCTTTGAGGAAGGAGGAGGTGGTCTACAGCTTCTCTTCATCCATCTGCAAGAGCAGATAGTGTCTGCTCCTGCAAGGTGTTCCTAGGCTTAGATGCCTTAGGAAGGTGTCCACCAAGCCCTTCCTATCACACACACCAGTCACTCGTAGACCTTTCTTATTGACAGACTTTATGAAATATGGTTTCTGCAGAGGTGCAAGATCATTCTTTACAGATTTCTGCACCAGCAACATGCCTCCAACATGCAAATATGAGTCAGAAATCAGTGTTTTCTTGTTGCATGACTGTCATATACCTTCAGCTGTATTCCCTGACCTTCCAGCCCTAGCTGAGTTTGGGGTTGGGGTGAAGGTAACAGTGGCTACCACTTACAGCAGAGGATTTGTGGGGTTTATTGGGTTAGAGTTCCTCAGGAAGGAAGAAACCAAAAAGCAGCACTTTGCTTTGAGTGACACTGGGGATCTGCTGCCTGTGGTTAGAAGCAGGACTCTGAGGTCCTCCTTCATGCAGCAGAAACTGACACCTCCACAAAGTAACTCAGTATAAACGGCTGCTTGTCTGCACAGGAAAACTGGTGTCACTATCTTCAGAGCCGGATGCTTCTAAATTCAGCTCCTCAGTACAGCTGAATTAGGCCATGTCAGTATCTCAAATGTGCCCCGCTGGCTGCTTACACTGCAGCAGCAAAGCTCTCTTAACCACACGCAAGCGGGACAAGCAGGTGAGAGAATAAACTACAGGAAACCCTGGCAGAGGGGCAGGAGCTGAGGCAAAGGGAAGTAAGAGAGATGGTTTATGCCAATGACTCTCTTGCAGCCCCATTAGGGACTTAGAAAGGGAGACCATGTCAAGAACATGTCCTACAGTGGTCAGCACATCCTTCCTTGTACTTCCTTCTGCAACAGCAATAGGCAGAAGCCAGTAAGCAGCATCCAAACAGCAGCTTAATTCAGCACTTGGGAAGCAAACAGGCACAACCAAGCTCCCCAGCAACAGGATCCTGCAATGACATAACAGGCACAAGAACCCCCCTGTTTATCCTAGTTGCCACTCTGTCCAATTGCAACACTCAAAGAACAGCTAATCCCTCTGAAAAAGATTAGTGAGAGAAAGTGCAGGACAAAAGCAGCAGCTTTTGTTACTGGAAGTTTGAACAAGAGAGCAGAATGAGCAGCTACCCTACAGCTGGGATGTGCCAGCTAGACAAGGCAAGTGCATGTACTCAGCCATGCTCTCTCTAATGGGAAGAGCATGTCTCTAAACCAGCTTTGACAAAACAAAGCCTCTAATCAGGCAGGAGAAAAAAACAGTTTCAGCTCAGATGCGATTCATTCTGCTGTGCTCTGGGGAGACCCCCCCTGCAGCCCTGCTCCAGCTCTGGGGAACAGCACAAGAGGGACGTGGAGCTGCTGGAGCGAGGCCAGAGGAGGCCCCGGCGCTGCTGCGAGGGCTGGAGCAGCTCTGCTCTGGAGCCAGGCTGAGAGAGCTGGGCTGGGGCAGCTGGAGAAGAGAAGGCTCCTCAAGGGGACACCTTAGAGCAGCTCCAGTGCCTAAAGGGGCTGCAGGAAACCTGGAGAGGGGCTTGGGACAAGGGATGGAGGGACAGGCCAAGAGGAATGGCTTGAACCTGCCAGAGGGGAGCTTGAGATGAGCTCTGAGGCAGAAGTTCTTCCCTCTGAAAGAAGACAGCCTCTGCCCAGCATCACTACCCAGCACAAACACCCTTCCACAAACTTTCAGGAACAGACTTTCTGTCCCTCTAACAAAGCCTCTCTTTACAGCTATGTACAGCACTCAGCAGCAGATAAACTCAGCATCACAACTGATGCTGCAGTACACAAGAAATACTTTTTTTGCCTAAGACATTAAAAGCTTGTTAAAGAAATCTGTTAAAAGCAACAGCTGATAAGATTTTGATCTACATGCAGAGCAAGCAACTGTGCAAATACTCTCTCAGATTCCCAAAAAAGATTCTAGGTCACATCCCTCCATTGCATCTTCAAAAACAGAGAGCTGCCAAGCTTGCAGCTTGCCCTATCCAGGCACTCTCTACCCTACAATGAGCAAACCTGTAGTTCATCAGGACTGAAAATTGTGCTGCAGCCCAACTGGAATTAGCTGTATCTATAACATAAGGTGAATGGCACAGGCTGGACACAGCGCACCAAAGCTGGGCTGACAATGGCTTTAACCTGACAGAGGGGAGATTGAGATGAGATCTCAGGCAGTTCTTCCCTGTGAAAGTGGCAATGCCCTGGCACAGGTTGTCCAGAGAAGCATATTGCTAATGCTTTTGCTGCCAGCATCTCTAAAGAGAGCCTAAATACTCCAGGAGCACTGATTCAGATACCTCTTTCTCCTAGGATATGGAGAGAGACCATCAAGCCACCCACACCCCAGCACTGCCACAAGCATTAAGCAATGCAAGGTTGTCATACAGCTGCCTGAAGTTGAGACAGCATCACTCAGGGCAGTGACAAGGAAGTGTTCGCCAGAGTCCCTTTGTGAACACTTCAAACCATGACATACCTGTCCAAGTAGTTGACAATGTTGGGGTTTTTGTTTTCCCTCATCACAAGGATTTCATTAATAATCAGTTCTTTTTTGGGCTGCTGCTGCAAATTCATCTGTTTGATTGCAACCTGCAGTGAAGAAACACCAAGCAAAGCATCATTACAGGAGTCCCCTCGAAACCTGCCTGTACCAGTGGTGATTATTTTAGTCCCACATCAACATGAACTGGGAAAACACTTCCTCCATCATGGTTCCTCAACCATTTAGTAACTCTGAATTCCTGCAGCCAGTCCATTTCCACACATGCAGGAAGATATTTAAAGCCCAAAAGGATGAGGGGAATTACCACTTTCATACTGGACCTCTATGTCACATTTGGATGACCATCTCCATCTACAGCTTCTTGGTAACAAAGGAGAGCTCTCCTACTCTAATATGGACTGGTATGTCAGAAACTTCTTATTTCTTAAACAACTTCTATTAATTTTAGTTTGGATTTGGATATTTCTGGAAGTTTTTTGGTGTTTTTCCTGCCTCCATACAAGTTTCTGCTTCTAGAATCCTACAGCAGGGCAACCATGCATGGAGGGTGCAAAGAACACTAGACTGAGTTAGTACTTTGAGTATCAGCAGCTTAGTACTTTGAGGTGGTAATTCTGTTTCTCTCACAGCAAGACCTGAGGGAAAGAAGCACCAGTGGTTAGATAAAAGGCTGAAAAGAAGTGAATTAGATTCACCTTCATTCCCAGTCATAACTGAAGGGCAATAGGGATGGATTTGTCAACTGTAGCCCTTTGGCTTAGTAGCTTTCTGCCTGCTTCAGGGTACCTACTCTGCATGTATAGACGCAGAAAGCAGGAGGGTTTTAACAGCATGTTTTGACTCTTATGTTCCACTCTGCCATGACAGCACCTGGCTCTCAGACAACCTTCAAATCAATAAGACTACTCAGCACAGCAGGAGGCAGAAGAGGAGAGGGAAGGCATTGGGTGCAGATGGAGACCAGAGCAATACTAAGGGAGCTTCAGAGAGGCTCCTGTACTTCCTCACTCCCATTCAGAGGTAGTCACCGAAGGGCTCCAGAAAGAAAGCAGAAAACCCTCAAAGGAGTTCCTCCTCTTCCTGTAAAATTCCTCATTGCTTCCAACTAACTACAATGCTCCTTCCTCAGGGGCTGCAATTAAACTGCTGGAATTCTTCAGGAACTGGAAAAGGGGGTGAAGGAGACCCAGCAAAGGCAGAATTATGACATTTACTGGTGCATGACCTGAGGTACAAATGCAAAGCAGACACACTCTGCTGCAGACTTCCATAAATATATCTGGAATAATGCATACACTTTCCTCTTTCAAAGTCCTCCACCTAGCATTAATGATTTCCACAGATGCTGCATATGCTCACTACTCCTTTATTATGCATGCATCCAACACGCAGGGCACTTTTCAATATGCAGAAGGGCCAGAAAACCAGAGAAAGACATTCCTTGTGTCTCAACTCAAGGGCAGAAAGCAAGTGGGCAAAGGGTGGGAGAGGAACTATTTCTATGCAAGTCAACTACTGTAAGTGTAGGAAGCAAAGGAGCAGAGAGCATGCAAAGAGTTTAAATGGGGACAGGCAGGAATCTTGGGGATGAAGAGAGGAATTACCCAGTTTGAACATTTGCTTCTGGCTTTTGTGGTCACAGGAAGCTTCTTTACAAATATAAGATGATTCAGGAACCAAAACTTGGGAAATCATGCTTTTCCAGTTCTCTGCTTCATAAATACCTCATTAAATACAAGATGCCATGAAGCCCTGACAGACCATCTCTATTTTATAGCATCAACTTGAACTGTTAGTACTCAATCCAAACTCCACTGCTGTGGTATCCTGGCAGCACTTACCTCCTGTCCTGTAGCTACATCCATTGCTGTGTAAACTGTACCTGAGGCTCTAAATAAGAGAGAAAAGGAAAAATCCAAACACTTATTAGTGCCTCATAGCAAGACTGAGAGCCTAAAACGTGCCCCTTCCCACTTGTCTCCTTGAAGTGCTCTCAATCCCATTCCTTTTCATGCAATAATTCCAATGGTAAATATCAGCTGAAACAGTTCTGAGCCAAGGCTGCTGTGGGAGCAGAAGTCAAAAAATTTATGGGGAACAAAGCTCCTAATAAGGGCCACTGTGGTCACCCAAACCTTTGCTGATAAACCAGCCACTTAGCACAGCTTGCAGGACCATGAGTTGATCCCATTTAAGCTGGCATGGCCTCAGCTTGCAGACTGCCTAACATGATTACAGAGCAGTCAGGATCAGCTAAAGAAACAAAATGTGGCATTTGTAGTGAGGGAAACAGGAGTTTGAGCCTCAGCACAGGGAGCTGACAGCAGGTCTCAGTGATCTGCACTGATTTGCCTTACTACAGCCTCTCCTACAACCTCTGCTTTGCCCCTACCCCGTAAGAGGGGCACAAGACCCATGGTCCAGGAGAGTTGACTCAGAAGATCATCTTGCACACTGAAAATAAGCAGTTCCTTCCCTGTTTGCAGTTATATTTAGCAACCTGATCATCTAATGACATATTTTCTTCTATTAAAACAATCACACACACAAAAAAAAACCCAAATAGTCCCTGTGACTCAAGACTTTGCCAGGAAAGGAAGAGGAGCTGTTGAACCCCCCAAAACAACCAAAACCAACCAACCAAAAACACAAAAGAAAGCAAAAAAGCCCCAGTCAAACAAAGTAAACTCTCCAAAGCATCACCAAGAGCTTTCAAAGCAAACTAACTTAGCCTGGTTTCACTGTTTCCTTCTTAGTATAAGGAAAGGAATAGGAGAGAGGAGGAGCATGTACTAACCCTTGTCCAATCTTCTCAAAACATGTGTACTTCTTTTTTGGGTCACCCACACTCACAATACTTCCTGCAAAAGAAAACAAGAGGATTTTATAAGGACTTTGTTGTACAGCTTTGAGAACCAACTGTACTTTAAGAGCAGCCCCAAGGCCACAGTGGGCTCTGCTGAGCACTGTGAACCATCAGGAATCCAGAGGCACACCAACACCAAGGAAGTTCTCAGTCCTTTATACACACCTATCAGCTGCAGCATTCCCTTCTCACAGGTATTTCCCTTCAGAAATGGTGTAACACAGACATTAAGCATGTTTAATTGTCATTAGTAGCTGGTCACTGCACACTCCCAGGCACATTATGGGGATCCATGGCCCTCATGGATGTAAATACAATTATTTGCTGGAAACCTGCAACTTAAAGTCACTGCAGCTTCTCTTACAAGTCTTGCAACCCAGTCTTAGAATCATAGAATTCAGACTGGTTTGGGTTGAAGGGACCTTAAAGCTCCTCCAGCTCCAACCCCTGCCACGGGCAGGGACACCTTCCACTAGAGCAGGTTGCTCCAAGCCCCTGTGTCCAACCTGCCCTTGAACACTGCCAGGGATGGGGCAGCCACAGCTTCTCTGGGCACCCTGTGCCAGCGCCTCAGCACCCTCACAGGGAAGAGCTTCTGCCTCAGAGCTCATCTCAATCTCCCCTCGGGCAGGTTCAAGCCATTCCCCTTGTCCTGTCCCTACAGGCCCTTGTCCAAAGCCCCTCTCCAGGTCTCCTGGAGCCCCTTTAGGCCCTGGAGCTGCTCTAAGGTGTCCCCTTCAGGAGCCTTCTCTTCTGCAGGCTGACCCAGCCCAGCTCTCTCAGCTTGATGTGCCAGGGACCTGCAAATCACAGTGGGTTGCCAAGGGGTGAATTGGAGAAGCTGAAAAGGAGCATCACTGCAACTCAACACTCCCTGCAAACATTAACTGATATTCACAACACCCTTGAGGCAGGCAGGAATCACACCCTTTTTAAGCTGAAGAAATCAGAGCCAACAACTCCCTTGAGCTCAGCTGGGAGCAAGTCTCCTCTCTGACAGCACCCGGGTGGCTAATAGGATCAAGGGATGCTGAGCTGCATCTCAGCTGCTGTATGCAAGTCACTCAAGCTGCCAACATATGGTGCTGCTTTCCAAGGGATCTAGGGCTGAGCCTAACCAGATGTATATTGGCAAAGAAACTGCTCCTGGTCATTAGGCCAAGAAATGCAGTAGCAAGCAGAGTAAGAGCAGGCTATTTCCAGACACCACTGGAGAGCAGCCAAACCGACAGGGTTTAGGGCAGACAGAGGTAAAGGAAGGGAATATGGCCCATGTTTGGAAAGGAGTGAGGGAAGAGAAATCTGGCTGTATAAAACCCACTGTACAATTAGGGAAGCAATGCTGTCTGCTCTGAGGACAAGAATTCCTGGGCAAACACTCAGAAACTCTCCGTCAAAGCCTGACACAAGCTGTAAGTACAGAGTGTGAGACAGGGAAATGCTTCCCCAGGGCAGTGACAGGGCAGAATGCTGCAGTGACAAGAGGCAGTTGCCAGTCCTGCCCTGTTTAATGCTCTCATCCCTCAAATGGGGTAATGTTTCCTACCTTCCAAGAAGTCAGACGAGGGTTCAGCAATGCCTGCACCAATGCTGTGACAATGCTAAGAGGTGGAGATGTATCAGCTTCCTTTTAACCTCTGTACATCTTCAGTATGTGAAAATATATCGATGCTTTCAGATTTTAATCATTTTAGTCACATGCCAAACCAAAAGATGTAAAGGTTGTGTGTCTGCACAAGTACAACTCCACTGCCCTCAGTGGAAGAACATCAGCTCACAACAGCATTAAAACCTCATGGCATATTTCTGACTAGCCCATACCTGGAAGCTGACACCTACCAGCAGCCACTGAACTTCACACACGTGTATCTACAATGAAATCCCTCAATGCTGAAGAACCAGCACTGAACACCACTTGGTGGAACAAGGAGGGTGTCACAAAGTACATCTGCCTCCTAACACTCCTAAGAGCAGCACTTGCACTTCTCTACCTCACAGAAGTGAGTGTGTTTGTATTAGAACTGTACATTTTCTCCTGCATAGTCCCTGCTTGCCCTACCTGGTCACAAAAATGGCTTGAATCCTTAAGGGTACAGAGGTCCTGCTTGTGAAGTCACAGGTTTGAAACACTGGGTGTGAGTTTTCCAGTAGTTCCAGTTAACATGCCATCAATCCAATTGAAGCTTTATTTAGAGGAATGAGGCACTCAGATGCCATTTTACTTTTAAGTTATACCCTCAATGGAGCTATTAGTCTTTCCTTCATTAAATACTGACCTTCAGGGATATACCCTCAACCCAGGAGATCAGCCCAACCATAGAGGTGCTAACACAATTTACATCAACTGACAAGCAAGGCATGGCTGTAATTAATACAGGATTAGTAGTTCAAAGACTTAGAAATGCTCTACCCTAATAGAAGCTGGCCAAGGCTGGGGATAGCAATCAACTGCACAGGAGAGCTGGCTCAGCTGCTGGATATGCTACAGCGTAACCCCAAAATACCAGGCAGCACTTCAACTGAAGGCAGAGACTGTTGAAGACATTAAGACAGAGAAACACAACGGATTTGTCTTAAAAATAACCACTAATTTGGGTGCCTACACAATGTTAAGGCACTTTAGAACAACCAAGTCCCTTTATACGAGGGTATTGTGGCAGGTGAACATTGGGATGCATTTTCTCTCCATCTTTTAGATGCTTTATGTCTAACACTGCAATATCCACACTCCAGAGCTGCAGGATATCAAGACGTGGAACAATCTCAGACCTCATAGTTAAGTAGATGTTACTTATTCAGGCCTTGTTTTGCAGAGCCTGAGGAGCTGTAACTCCCTGGGGACTTCAGTTGGCATCACAGGTGCTCAGCTTACATTTATGCTCCCTCCTTAACATCTGCCCCCAGTTTTGGCACGCAGTCACAATGCAATGTCATCAGTAAAGGACCTCAAAATGGGACTGTCAAAACATTGCAGCTTATTAAAGTTCTGAGAAACCAACACAGCAGGACCTGGAATGTAAAGAAAAGGAACATACTTAATTTTTCCAAGATCTCTTCATCTGACATTTTTGGCTTTTTCTTTTGTTTCTCCATGTTCCTGACCAGCATGTCAGGTGCCGCAGTGCTGTTCTCCGAGGGAGAAGAAATAGGAGAGGTGGCCACATCTCTGGTAGGAGGAGGCAGAGGGTCTATCACAGAGCGGGTGTAGATCTAATTTTGTTGAGAGAAACATGTCAGATGAAGATTTAAACACCTCTATTCATATTGTTCTTGTTCTTGATGCTGTCAAGGCTGCATTTCCACAGCTACTTTGTTAAGAACTAAGCAAGGACTTTCTTGTCCCCCCCAAATAGGTGATAATACAAAGGTGCTGAGCCAGAAGGAATGGCTCAAACCTTCTCCCTCCTGCTCCCAAGAAGGACTCAGCACCATGCCATGAAGCATGGATGAGTTATCACAGTTAGGACACATCTCTGACTGCAGTGGTAAGGGCTGAAGGAAGTATTTCTGCTCACAGATTTTGTGTGTTCAGGTCGCGGAGCTATCACGGGGGGTGGAGCTGCATCATCTTCATCATCTTCATCTTCAGACACTGAAGGCACTGCAGGGGTCTCGGAGACAGCCTTCACATTCTGCATGTGGTCACGCAAACAGCAAGAATGAAAAAGAAATCTTCACCTGTTTGAATCTGCACTAAAATCTTCATGTGTTCTCTAAAACTTGGGAGGTTGAGTTATCATCAGCTTTGGGATTGTGACTGAGAGCTAAGAAAGGACAGATTTTGGAAGCAGAACCTGGTAAAATCTTTTCAAATCCCTTTTGAAATTGCTTTCTACAAGAAAATTCTATCAAAACCATGAAAAATCATATTATGTAAGTTTTACAAGTGGTTTAAAAGATTATCTGGATTTTTTTTTGCAATGCTGTGATTAGAAATGAAAGTCACTTTTAACCTTCTAAATTTGAAGCTGGATTTGAAGTTCATGGCACCTTTACACTGTAAACATCTCAAAATATATTTGGTGAGCTCCTCAATCCACTAGACCAGTTCTGCACCCTGCATCACTTAAGAGTGGCAGGGGAAAAAAGTGTTAAAATGAATTCTCTCTGAAAGAGGGGCAAATAACGTGGTATTTGACTGAACCTAAAATGCTTGAACCCACTAGCACCCTGATACATAATTGCTAAAGGGTTCCTCATATAACACAAAAGCTTTGCCTGCTAAAAGCAACAAGAAGAATAACATGTAGTGGGAATTTCCTGAATATCACAGAATGGTTTGGGTTGAAGGGACCTTAAAGCTCATCCAGTTCCAACCCCCTGCCACAGGCAGAGACACCTTCCACTAGAGTATCCCCAGAACTGAAGGTTACCCAGTGTCTTCCAAAAACATGAGGCTATCTCAGCAGTTAACTACTGCTTTTTCCAGGATTTACTTTAAAATCCAACAGCCTCAGCTATTCTAAACTCCTGAGGATTGATGTACAATGACATGGAATAAGGAACCACAGCAGAAACTCTCCTTTTCCTTCCATAGAGTCCTAAACGGTCAGATCTCAACACACTGCCTCCAGAAGGGAGAACAAGTCGACTCCACATACTGACATGGCAGTGAGAAAACAAGAGGTGAGGGAATTGTGGGGGTTTATGACTCATCTTAAACTGAATGTTTGGTTTCTTCCATCTCACACGCACATAGAGAGACGTATTGCTGTTAACAAAGCAAACAGGAGTGGTGCCTGCCCTGGTACGGACAGAGTAAAGGTCGAGCAGAGAGGAGGAGAACCTTTTATTTCCTATTCTGCTGGAGATTACTTTGGTTAATCAACAGTAACCACCATCAGTTATGGTCATTCAGACCTTGTGGGTTAGGAATTAATTGTTTTTTACATCAGAGATGTTTACAGAGACATACAAAGCCTGACATGGAGCAGCTGTCAAATTATAGGTATAGGGACAGATTGACTTCTATGAAACAGAACTATTTCTACTCATTAATTCCCTAATTTCTTTTCACTATTCACTAATAAAAGCTACTTCTGCTTACTTGGTTCTCCCCCAGTTGTTAGAAAAGGTGAAAGGAGCATGCCTGGCTTTACAAACATGTACTCACTACACAAATGTATATAGTTCCGATTTCAAAATACAAAGCAAACTAGAAGTTTACATGTAGTGAACTACTTTCTGTAAGTATTTAAATCCCCAAACCCAAGACAGAATGTGAATGTGAGGCTTACCAGTGTATTTGATGAATTGTAATCCTCTGTTGATTTATCTGAAAGAGAAAGTAAAGCATTATAAATGAGTTATAAGTGCAGTAGCACTGGAGAGAGGAGAAAAGGACAAGCTCCCTTTGGGAGGGGCAGGAAAAAAGGCTGCTCCCAAACCTTGGCATAACCTTCAGCTCCCAGAACAAGCTGACACGTGGCAGATATGGGAATAGAGGGTAAAAAATATGGGACTAGAGGGTAAAAAATATGGGAATAGAGGGTAAAAACTCTGTAGATGAATGCAGGAGCCCCAAATCCCTGCTGCAGGAGGGTGTAACTTCCCAGAGCAACACCTGAATGAATACTGTCTCTATCCATATACACCACATCTTTCCAATGGGCTAAACCATCAGCAGAGGCACTGCAGCTAGCCTGAGACCTGAAAGATGTTCACTCTCAGCCACCTTAACTTCCTGGAATAGAATCAGAGGACCCCATGAATCTACTCTGGGTTTCTTGTTTGACTCTCCAGGCACATATGGGGAAGATTTGTGCTTTTATCCCTGCCCGGAGCCTTCCTAATTAATACCAGTTCTGGTGACATGGCTCTATCCTCTTGAAAGAGCCAAAAGCAGAGCTTAATATAAAGGGAATGAGTTACAGCTGAAAGAGAAAAGGAGTGTGTTCTCCAGTGGGCAGGTAATCCATTCAAGGAAGGCACAAAACCTTGGCAGCTTTGATCTTTAGAGGAATCCAGCCAGCAGCAAACAAGTACCTAGAAGCTGAAGGGTATTCCTCAATCATGGCACATGGGAGCAAAGAGATCCTCACCCCAAGCATGCAAGAAGCAACATCCACACTCGATGCTGGGGAAGTGGGACTGCTGCAAAATGTAGCTGCCTGTTTCTCCAGGCATCACTGGGAACTCAATGCCACCAACTCTGGGATCTGCCTTCCAGCTGGGAGCTTCAGAAATCCTATGGGGTTTGGGGATTTGACCAGTTGACTGATTCTTTTGCAGCTATGTTAGGCATCAGGATCAACAGAACAGCATGTTAAAGGAAGAGGGATGCTTGAGCAGCCAGAGAATCTCATTCACATCTTCCTTGGCTGTTGATTAAATGAAGTAGTGACATCCACAAGTAGTGACTAATGGAAAGCTGGACAAAGCAGCCATATGAGACAACCACCATGTACCTGTGAAACTCATGTACTTCTGGCTGTTGGAGATCTTCTTGGAGTTGTAAAACTCCAACACGTCCAGCACTGCCTGGGGGTTCTTCTTCTGCTCCGACTTGGTGATGTTGGAAGTCTGCAGTAAACGTGCCCATTGCTCTGGCATTCCCTGTGGGGAGATCGGTGGACCTTGTTAGCTCAGAGTGATCAACATGGTTCACAGCACACAGATACTCACCAGAGTTCTACCACAGCTACACTGGGCTCTGAGGGAAACAGGGAGGAGGAAAGGGAGAAGGAGAGGGAGAAGGAGAGTTACAAGTCACACATTCCTTACGTGGACATGCAAACACAACTCTGCTCACGGGGCTCTGGGCAAATCCCAGGTCCTTTGAAGACTAAAACTGAAAACCCAGAAAGGAGCAGACCCAAATGCTGCAGTTCAGGAAGAGCATCAAGCCCCCAAAAAACCCCAAACCTTTATGCACGTACTAAATACACCTATCTACATATATCCAGGAAAGTCTATAGAAAAAAAAACCCAAACCTTTATGCACGTACTAAATAGACCTATCTACATATATCCAGGAAAGTCTATAGAACATACACTAATGCACCTAGCACAATGGGCAGGCAACAATCTTCTTATAGCACTAGAGTTCATTGATTAGGGTGGTTTGGTGCCTACTGTAACCAGAGCTGGGAATGCAGAGATGTTAACTTCATTACAGAGACATCATCTCAGCCAGAAAATAAATACATCTGAAGTACAACCAGACTTGTGCTTTTCATCATCAGCAACAATAAGTTTGTATAGATGAAGTGGCAAGTGACTGGGATAAAGTTACCCTCCCTGTCCAAAAGGATGCTGGATACACCACCTGGGTACATCTAGGTTAACTTTGGCAAGTCTAGAGGCTGACATGCAAAACACAACTGTATACATGAATGAGGTTAGGAAACCAAAGTCCCTGAAAAGAAGCATATTAAAGCCAGGTAAAACCCTCTTGCTCACAAACTGCTTCTGCTATAAAATACTCTCTCACAATGAAATTAAGAAGGGTAAGATGATGAAATACAACTCTGTGTTCACAGTGGTTTGGATGTCAATAAGAAAAACCATAAAAGCATGTGACAGTGCCTTAGGGCAGCACATACATGTTTTATCATCAGTAGTTATATATGGCCGTCTGCCTCCTAAAGGGGAACTCTCAGAACCCTACTTCGTAGACACAGACTATGCTGTCAACCTAATTCAGCTCTCTAAGAGGAGGGGAGGGAAAGGGAGCACAGATACACCATGTTTTGCTGTCCACATACGCCAGAACAACAGGAAAGGCAAAGTTTGCTGGCAGCCTGGACTCCTGGGATGTGCCAAGTTTGACAAACAGTCGCTCCGCAGGAATTCGTGGGTACCCTCTGCAGATATGTTTCGAAGGAGATCAAACTAGACAATGGTAATAGCCTTTCCAGCATTGCTCTATGAAAGATTAATGGCTCCTCCCAGCAATAAGCCAAACCACAGAGTCCTCTTTCCCCCCAGATTCACTTACTGTGAATTCTCCCGTGACTGCATCAAACCCCACATGAATCGTGTGTTCAAAGTCTGAAGGGAGGGAGATCTCAGGCCGCTCTTTCTCTTTCTTTTTATTAGCTGGAAGAGACAACAAGAACAATCCATAAGTCCAGCAAGAATCAAAACCTTCCCAATAGCTTCCAATTCACCAACCCAACCATTCCCCTCTTTTGCTAGTTACATTTCGATTTGGGGCAGATAAACAGCAAGTTTAAGAACTTTGTCACCTCACTTCAGAGCAGCCACAGCAAATGGAGAACAAAACTCAAAGTTCTCTGACACAAAACAAAGAAGGTTTTTTGATGCAAAGTTCTGCATCAAAAGCAGTGTGAGCAGCAGGTTGAAGGAATCAATCCTGCCCCTCTGCTCTGCTCCCGTGAGACCCCACTTGCAGCACTGGGTGCAGTTCTGGTGTCCTCAACATCAGAAGGACATGGAGCTGTTGGAGCAAGTCCAGAGGAGGCCACGAGGATGATCAGGGGCTGCAGCACCTCCTGTATGGAGACAAGCTGAGAACATTGGGGCTGTTGAGCCTGGAGAAGAGAAGCTGCGTGGAGACCTCAGAGCAGCTTCAGTGTCTGAAGGGGGCTACAAGGATGATGGAGAGGGACCTTCATCAGGGACTGGAGTGATAGGACAAGGGGTGATGGGTTCAAACTTAAACAGGGGAAGTTCAGGTTGGAACTAAGGCAGAAGCTCTTCCCTGTGAGGGTGCTGAGGCGCTGGCACAGGGTGCCCAGAGAAGCTGTGGCTGCCCCATCACTGGCAGTGGTCCAGGCCAGGTTGGACACAGGGGCTTGGAGCAACCTGCTCTAGTGGAAGGTGTCCCTGCCCGTGGCAGGGGGTTGGAACTGGATGATCTTAAGGTCCTTTCCAACCCAAACCATTCTATGATTAACACAGGACAAGCACAAGAAAGGAAACTGTACTTTGGGTATGTCAAGTATCACCAGCTGGGCTAGACTCAACAGCACAAGAGCTATTTACCTAAAACATTCACTCAGACTTACACAGGTCAGAGTCAATAGCACTGCAGTGGCATAAGTGGAAGCCATGCAGTTTTGAACACATTTTTTGAGTTGTTGTCTTAAGCTACTTTAAGAAACCAAAATATTATGCGCTGTTAAATATATACTCACCTCTCATATTAAGACAGGGACTAAATTAACTACAAACACTGTTTTTTAATTGCTTCCTTCAACCTACTTCTTATGAAGAAACCCAAATATAACATGTTTCTGCTACAAATCTTGGATGAGCAAAGCCATTTGTATTTTTCAGCTCACAAAATGAACCAAATGTGGTTTCAATAACAAGCTTTGAAGATGCAGAGCGAGAGGGCGGAATGTGGCAGGTGAGGAGCAGAAGTCATGAAGAAAGGAAAGGACATAAATCAAAGCAGATGCACCCCGCACACTTTAAAGTCAGGTCTTCAAATAAGATTAACATTATGCCTTGGATTAAGTACATCCATAGAATGGTTTGGGTTGAAAAGGACCTTAAGATCATCTAGTTCTAACCCCCTGCCATGGGCAGAAAAAGGAGATTCATGACATATCAAGGACTCCACTTTCCTCTTCTTAGTTACTGTACTCAAGAAATTGAGATCAGATTGAGCAGGAACCATGTTCTACATGGATTTGCTGCTGTCTGCAGTTACAAAACGAGCTGAGCCAGGAGAAGTGACTAAACCACTTCTGTTTCCCAGCTGCTACCTTTTTTTATCACAAGCCAAACAGGATTTGTTTCATGGCTGACATTCCCCAGCACGTTTTTTGGCAGCAGGGATGCCCAAGCCCCG